AGCAACTACGGGGCCAAATTCGATGAACTTTTTTTATTTGAATTCTACAAATATATAGAATTCAAAGAAAAAAACATTTGTCAAAATTTGGCCTGGTAGTTACCAAGATATCTTTGCTCAAAGTTTAAAAAAAAGTTAAATCTGCAGAGGGGTGGCATTAGCAAATTTGGGGGGTGGAAATAGTAATTCCCTAAAAAAAATACAACTTTTTTTTCATAATTGAAGCAATGATAGTATTGCAATTAAACTCCAAAAAAATGGGTTAAGGTCTTTTATCTCATGTTTTTATATAAAAAGTACAGGCTAGAAAGTCAAAAGGTCTGTAGTTAAACAAAATTCAAGTTGTTCAGAATGTAGTTGCCATAAGCTAATATATAAGAGAATGAGAAAAATCACATTTTAAATTTTAGAGATAAAGCATAGTACAAGCAAAGTAAATAGGCATGTACTTTTACATAAGTAATCATAAAGTAATAGAAACAGTGTAATAAGGAAAGGTTTTTTAAAAACATAACGAGAATGATGTGAAAAGTGAAAATTGATTAACCGAAAATGTTTGGGATACATCACCAATGAAGTATTCAAATAAAATTTTATCACTGCCGAATCAAAATAATCATGAAAACACTGTAATAGTTACTCTGGCAAAGTACATTCCATATCTCGCTTCGGGTACCGAAAAGTTAGCCGGCACTAGCTATATAATACGGGAACCTGTTTTTCGGGATTTCGACCCAAAATCCTCTTAAATTTGGACAACTTTACTCGCCTATTTTCTATTTTGAACAAAAATTAATTTCCGGCCAAAATTACGTAATGCAGGCCGATCCGTAACATTTTTAGCGTGGCGAAGAGGTTCATAAAACTTGCTAACCAATTATATCATAATTTTGTACGACGAAAGTTTAAATAACAATGAATTTCGTTGCTTTCTCCGTTTTCAACGAGAAAATATGCCGCCGTATACTTTTAATCCGAACAGACTTAAGATCCATCTTAAGCTAGCTGTTAACCGTCTTAAACTTGCACAACAAAAGAAAAATGTACTTAATAAGCAGGCACGAAAAGATATCGCTGCATTACTTGAGAATTCAAAGGAAGAGAGCGCAAAAATTCGTGTATGTCACCGTCAAAGCAAATTTACTGTTTCATTGCATGATTCTCAAAATAATTAGTTCAAGGATCGTTACTGGATGTAGAATATAATATTTACGTCATTTTAATCATAGGTTGAAGGTATCATTCGGGAAGATTATTATATCGAAGCGTTAGAGATGTTGGAACTTTATTGCGAACTTCTTTTGGCAAGATTTGGACTTATAGAACAAATGAAGTATGTTTATAGCGGTATTTTTTGTCAATGCATTATTGATTTTTTTTTTTTTTTTTGTGCTATTAGACAATGTGATCCTTCTATAAGTGAGGCAGTGAATACTTTAATTTATGCAGCGCCAAGATCAGAAATTAAGGAATTAAGTTTGGTGTGTAACAAAAAATTTTAAAAGTATTTAAAATGTTTAATTTTAATCTAGGGTTGATTTTTTTTTTTTAGGTTCGAGATCAATTAATTGCAAAATTTGGAAAAGAATTCGCATTAAATGCGATTGAAAATAAGAATAATTGTGTGAATGAAAAGGTATATATCAATGTTTTATTGTTTTTCATAATGAATAATGTTTTTTTAATTAGATCTATTTTTTCGATTTACATTAGCTTATACAAAAGCTTATGTTCAGTGCAGCAGATCCCTATTTGGTGAATAGCTATCTTGAGGAGATCGCAAAATCATATAATGTAAACTGGAAAATGGATCCTAGTGTGAATGATTCACTATTAGGGGTAAATCTTTATTCCTTTCCTGTAACACATAAATTACATCTTATATGATAACATTGGCTTCATTATAATAAATTCTTTGATAGATTGACTATTTAAATACAACAAATAAACCGGAATTTACCGCCTTACCAGACATGGAATTACTCTTGTCTATGAATAATGATCACGGAGGAAATAATAAGTCGGTAAGCGGTCCTGGTGAAAAAATATCCGACCGTACATCTCGAAATGATAATTGATTGCTTACTCGTTCACTTTCAAGTCTCCGATAATTTCGTCCGATTCCGATTGTCTTGTTTTGGACGCTCCTGCCCCTCAACTACCTAAAAACAAAAAAAAAGACAAACTTGACAGGCCACCATCACCATTATTACCACACGACTTTTCTCAAAATGACTTTGCTACACCACCACCAACATATTCTACTAGTAATAATGAAAATTCTATACCAAAATCTACAACTAAACCTAAAGTTAAATCTATTGATGACTTGCCAAATATGGATGAATTGGAAAGAAGGTTTGAAGCTTTGAAAAAGAAATAAAAGGTTCTATTTATTGTCATATTGATGACAATAACTATTATAATTAGACAATTACTATTTGTAACAATACACAAACCCATTATTATTATATAAAAATTTTTTTACAATTATACAAAATAATAACATTGCTCACTAAGATTGTAAATAAATGTAATAAATGAAGTTTTATGCAGTGAATAAATATCAAACTAAAGTAACTTCCAATTTTTTATTCTCTTTCTGTACAGTTTCTGATTTAACTTTTTGTTTTGACGTAGATTGTACTTCATCTAGCAATGAATAATAATTTAGTTATTATAATATTTTTATTAAAATTCATATTATCGCTCTTTTCAAATTAGTGTGGTCATCTCTCTGAAAATCGGCAAAATTCACCAATTTTGGCGCTATTTTTGCGAATAAATCTAAATTTCTTGCTAACAAATAAAAATTCCCAAGATTCCTCTTAACAAGTAATATACAAGAGCTGGTTGTTTGTGCAGCTAAATAATAATATTTCTTAATTTTTTTTAAACTTTGAACGAAGATATTTTGACAACCACCATTTCAAATTTGATGAGCTTATCTTATTTAAATTCTACAAACCAGTATAATTCAAATAAAGAAATGTTTATTAAATTTGGCTTGGTGGCTGTTGAGATATTTTCTTTCGAAGCTTTAAAAATTCTCAAATAAAAGTTGCGTCAAAATTTTCTCAAACTTTATACGAAGATATCTCAACAACCACCAAGTCAAA